CGTGTGTGTGTGTGTGTGTGTGCATGTGTGTGTGAGAGAGAGAGAGAGAGAGCTGTGCGTGTGTGTGAGAGATTGAGAGAGCGAGAGAGGACGGATGAAAGGATAGACGGCAGCAGTGCATATATTGTATATTTTCGGCAATCAGCAGAGCGTCCCGTTGCGCAATCATGCGTGTACGCGAGTCATGCGATCACATCATCACTGTGTGAGTGGATGTCAGGATGCGTAGCCTGGAAGCTAGGCGACCGGTTCCAGACGCGTAGCCACTGCGATAAATAGATTTCGTATTTATTTAGCATTATATTTTATTGAAACGCTCCAAGTGCCTGTGACTCCTCTGCTCTCTTAGTCTATCACTAACTATGTTAACACTGTTGTTCTACCTCGTTTTCATTTGCTCCTCGCCCGATAGGTTTATTAGCAGAGTAGGGTACGTTTTAGGCATGTCACTATTCAGCGTTTATAATGCCTCTACCCCCACTTTTTTTTTGAGGGCCTTGGTCCGAAACTAGGATTGTGTACCTTTCTACTCAGTACTCGATTACTCACTCAGGTTCACTCGTGACTCGATGAATAACTACTTAAACTAGCATAGCTAGTCCAGTAATTTGCGAATAATGTTTCGTTGATGATCTTAAAAGTGGTGATAGTTCGTGGTTATTAGTCAGAGCTGCTAACAGTGTAACACTCCCTCTGTCACTTTTCTCCCACTGCATAAGCACTAATGCCACTATTTATATTTTGTCCCCATCTTTACCTCTGTCTTGGTGTCTCTAATATTCTATTTCTATCTATTGCCTACCCTCTCTCCTTACTTCCCTGGTTTCTGTTGCGCACACGCTTGTCTTTCCTGCCATTCTCTCTCGTCCACTTAAATTGTATGTCAGAATCATGGTGTGAATAACCATATCACGTGGAGTTGGGTGCCCTTTATATTCCCCCGTGTAGTTCCATTCAGTTCCTGAAGCTATAAATTGCTGTTGAATACCTTGCTATAACTATATATATATTGCTATATATACATCAGTTTACATGGAAAAAGAAATTAAGGCATATTTTCGTTGTCACTTTTCCAAGGGAAATGTAGCAGGTTTTTCTCATTTTTACCCCAGCACAAGTGTAAGAATATGCAGGGTTTCTTCTACATAGGAGGCACTGCGGCGCACCGCCGTTGTCAAATTTAACAACGCCGTTGTGAAAATATTCCTGTATTTACCCACCGTTGTGAAAATATTCCTGTATTTACCCACCGTTGTCAAAATAGTGTCAATCCAAAAATAAACAGATCACCACGTGCTTCTGACTATATACATGGAAAATCGTAATGAAATTCACAGTGCTCACCATTTATTTTTGCGTGCCTGCACACTCCTGTGTCATCCCCGATTGCAGATTTTTCCTCGATTCTGGGAAAGTTTCGCTGTCGCGCCCTCATCCACATATACAGCAATAAGCATGCCCACGCGACTGTAACGATCAGTGCATGATTCGCCCCCCCCCCCCTACTTCAATCAATGCCGCCCCAAGCACGGTCGCGGGTGTCATGGCGCCGTTCAAATTTCGTAGCGTTGATGTGTAAATAATTAATTAAGTATCTGGTGACAAATACATGTGGGTATAGACGATTTGTTATACAGTAAGTACAGTTGTATGCAGTAAAATCCTAGAGGCTACTGTCCCTTTAATTCATCAAAAATGAGCAATGTAATTTTGGTAACAGCTCATGATATTTTTTTTGGTTGTACTTTGCGATTTGAGCTTAATGATTGTATGTACTTCACATCTTCTCTTTCCTTCCAATCTTCTTTTTATTAAATACTGTCTATTTTTAGTTTGCATTTTAAGAATTTTAAGCATTTTAAGCATTTTAAAATGCAATATTTAGTTTGCATTTTAAGTCAGCAATTCAGCATGAAATTTACATATTCTAATATCACAGATCACGTACACTTGTGGACGTGGGGAGCACCTGTCTGAAGAAGGTACCCTTAAAGCACTCTGGCCTGTCCTCCATCCCTCCCTGCATCAGCAGACGGGCCAGCATGTTCATGTCAGCAGAACGATCCACACAAAAGTGTTCCTCTATCTGGTGTGGCCACGCAGCATTCGCAGCCCTGCAAATAAGACATTTTGTTGATATACAAGTAGAGTGAGTGCTATGATGCAATCAAATATGTGCACATGCATGCATGAATACATGTATGTATTCATGCACACACGCACATGACGTATACATCATGTTATCACAAATAAATATTCTTTTCTACAATATATTTATTTATGACAAAGATTTAATATTACTATGAAGCAATCAATACATTAGCAGCAATGCTATCTATTTTCCTTTATACCTTAGGTGTATGCATGCGTGTGTATATAGAAAACATATATATATATATATATTATATATGTACCATGCAACTGAACCAATGCCAGATCCAAAGTCAAACAGGGTCTTAGGAGAGAATGAAGAGTCACGCCTCTGAATCTCTGAGAAGATACTGGTCAACATGGCATATTCAGGCACAAGCCTAGACAACATATATAGGATCCCCTTGTATGCATCATATCTGTAATGGCAAATCAGAAATTGCAATAGATACTGCACAGTGTTAAAATATATAGCGTGACATAACACTAATTTATAAAGCTCTCCTGGAATCTGACAAAAGATAACATGTTTCATTATATCAAGAGCTAATAAATACCCAGAGTGTACAATGGAAAAACGGGAAAATAGTGCTATTTCACGGCAATATTATTCTACTTTGCCTGCGAGTCTGGAATAATTTTATGGGATTGCATTAAGCAGCTTTCTTTGCTCTCTAAAATAATACCAACCGCTTGTCTCTACGATACTCCTAAGCCGAGATATTGGAGCGTAATCATGCCTCCCACAGGCTTCACGCCGCCTCGCAACGAAATTATTCCCGAACCTTTTTGCCTTTTGCGGGTTAGGAAAGTCGCTTCGTGAGAGTTCGGTTTTTTTCCGCGATGACTTTATGAATGAACGGCGTTTCGGTTATCATCGGTGACTTTCGGGGGCATCACCTATGCCCTTATCTCCCATTATCTTTCCTAGCACGGCTAATGCCCATAATGATGGAGCCGGCAATGTTTTCTAAATTAAGTCTCTACAGCGCAGCTCAGTTACTATATAGTGTAGTAAGAGTACCAAATTTGGGCATGTGACATCAATGATCAGTGTTCCAAACGGCGACAGAAAACGATAGCCAGAACCCGCAAAATGCAAGAGGGTTCGGGAATAATGTAGATGCGAGACGGCATGAGGCCTGTGGGAGGCATGCTTACGCTCCAATATCTCGGCCTAGGAGTATCGTAGAGACAAGCGGTTGGTCTTATTTTAGAGAGCAAAGAATTCTGCTTAACGCAATACCATGAACTTAGTCTAGAACCCCACACAAAGTAGAATAATATTGCCGTGAAATAGCACTATTTTCCCGTTTTCCCGTTGTACTCTGGGTATTTATTAGCTCTTGATTATATATATATATATATATATATATACTTCATACATACACTTGTACATATAAACATATGACTTCATATAATATATTGATTTCACAATTATTATAAATTGATTTCTGTCAATCAGTATTAGTGTTGCAGTTGTTCAAAATTGTAAAATTGGACAACTTGTGTTACAAAGAGCATTCCATGCAATAAAAGTTTTTTCTCACTCAATAGGTTCCCAGTGGTATAGACTCTGCCTTAGAATGTTTAGAATTTTCCCCTTTCGTTGACTTTCTACTAGACGTTTCTCTTCTGGGTTCAAGTGGTATAGATCAATGCCATCTGTGAAGATATATGTATACATACATATCTATAGCCACTTTCTTGATTATATAGAATATACTAATTACTATTTGAGTATACATCACAAATCAGCTGCTAATACCATACAAGAGCATACTATAAGGTTGCTAACAATAATGATCAGATATTGGAATAATGTTATTGGATTTCATTTTACCATACAAAGGCATTTTATTATGAGATGAATTCATATTATCTATTGGATTGGCAGTTTTCGAGCAGATAAATCACCATCAACTTTGGGAAGCTTAATAAAGACAGCAGATCGAATGTTGAAACTGCTGCTTCGGTAAATAATAATTCATCTCCAAATAAAATTATTTTATATAATCATCATACATTACATACACTATACAATGGTGCGGACCAAATAGAGGCGGGATGCTATCTTTCCACATGTTTGCAGTTTTAACTCATTCTTTACAGAACTCTACTAACACACCTACCCTGTGTCCGCACTTTGAATTCTGCCTCCTTTGCCTTCTGCCTTAGTTCCATTTCTTCCACAGGTGCGTGCCTGCCATGAAGATAGCGTGCGAGTCCTTCTGCCTCTTTCATGATATTGCCAATGCCATATTCTGTCAAAGAATAATTTTATAAATTCATGTTCATCTGACAGCTATAAAAAATAATGTGATCACCCTACGTTTACATTTTTCTCTGAGAGCAGATTGCAGTGCACATATCAAAGTATATGTGACTGGGTAAAAGTGCTCTGCCTAAAGATACAAGCCATGCCACACTGCAAAGACCGAAATGGCAGATTATTATTTCCAATACCAGGTATCAGATTCATGTTGCTAAAAATGTATAATCATGTGCATACTTACTGTTTACTATAGCAACGCATGCCTTTTCTAATCTTGTGGGAACAGACACACGTTTAACCCTCATCTGTCCCGGGTGACTGTTCAACATCCCACTTTGACCATAAACCATGTGTTCCTGTGCTGCACTATCTAACGTCAACACTACCGCACCAAGCTCTTGACTAGTGGCCGAGAAGTGCTGTAACAAATGGCAGTGCTCGAAATAAGAAAAAAAATGTGGTTGTCCTGCAGACAACCCAGGCATCAAATCGGGTTGTCCGCAACAATTTCTGGTTGTCCCAAAAAATATCCCCAAATCTCCTATTTTCAATCACATAATAATATGATCAGAAAACACCCCAAAACAGTGGCGTAGTTGTATACCATAACTCGCTTATCTCGTTTAACTTTATTTTCATATTAACAATAATTCATCTTTTAAGCCCATCGACCTTCAGCATTAGCATCGCTCTTTCTTCGGTAGATCCACAAAATTGTTTGAACATTTCATGAAGTAGTCGTGGTATAGTGTGATCAAAGTAATCAGTACAGTGATTAAAACACTAAATAGTAAATGATTTAATATATATTAGATTAAACCCATACCTCACTGAGACACTTCTTTGCAGGCCGAACATTTTCAATGACTCCTCTTGACCATTAAGTCAAATTCTGTCCTCAGACCGTAATTGATACTACAAGCTGCCGATGTCCTTTGCCACAAAGCCTAATGAACATAATTGTCTTGTCAATTTAATTTAAAACAGAATAAGCGCTTCATTAATGTGGCAATTCCCTATTAATATTCATTCCCCAAAACAAACAATATACGACATTTTTATGTGTACACGTTTATGCGCTGACAAGACATTTTAAATAACACTACTTAGTTTAATATACCTGGTCTTGGAAAGGTTGCACTGACAGAATGCATTTATGTAGTATCCATAGTCTACTGGTCCCTTTTTCCCAACTGAAATGAAATACTATTTTATGTTTGTTTGTTTAAATTCACTATTAATGAGATGAGCGCCCACACACATGACTCCTCATCAGTACGAGTAATATCTCCTCTTTCTTTTCACTTGAAGCAAAAAGAAAATTGGCCTGCTCAACCTAATCTCTTCTCACAAGC